GTGAAGTCCGAGCAGGAGTGCTGGATATTCAGCCACCAGGAACGCCGGGAGATTCTGTCTGGTGGGGAGCCGCCCAGCAGGGACAGAGTGCCAAACTTTGTGTTTCCCTGGTGAGGCTGGGACGGCCCTGGTGAGGTCGGGACGACCCCGGTGAGGTTGAAACGGCCCCGGTGAGGTCGAGACTGCCCCGGTGAGGTTGGGATGGCTCCAGTGAGGTTGGGACAGATAATGGGGACCAGTATAGACTGATTAACAGGGGTAGATGCAGAGGCAGAGCAGCATTGAACAGACTGTCAAACTACAGTGGGAAGCCTGGGGAGGGTTTGGGGGGGGGGGGATGGTTAAGAGATCAACCGAAGGACTTATATGCATGCATATAGGAATAACCGGTGGACACAAGACACTGGGGGGTGGGGGCCGGGGGAGTGTCCGGGGGGGGGGGGGGAAGGAGACATATGTAATACTCTTTGTAATACTTCAAGAAATAAAAATTATTAAAAAAAAATCAGGCATTTGCTTTTGCTCCCCCACCCCCACCCCCCACCCCTGTGTGCTAGATTCCTGGGTTGATGGCAGGAGATATGTTCCCCTGCGCCCACGTGGCTTATGACCATGTGGGACTCTGCACATGGACTAATAGACTTAAACGCCTGACTCTAACATGGAAAGGAAGCTCTGGGCACTGGCTTACTCCTAACCCCAGCTGGCCCTTTGCCAGGACTTCCTTCTCTCAATACACTTTGGTTCCACTGACCGGTTTGTTCTGCGACTTCATTCTTCTATTTCGTGAGACAACTAACTCGGAATCAAACCGCACGTTTCGGTTTCATAACTGCCACGTCACCCAGCAATGGTTCTTTTCCCTGGCTGCAGCAATTGGTTCCAAATTCTAATTTTTAATCTACCTTCTCAGATCCAGCAACCTTCAACATTTACCTTCAGTAATACCCCAGGGTAGGGGGTTGGGGGGTACAGTCCCTTCCTTGGAAGCCTGAGTCCCAGCTCCCTCCAGGCCCTCTTCCATCTTTTAGTTTCTGATAATCCGAGTACTTCTCTATCCAGATCTCTCAGTGGCAGCTGCTTCCTGCAGTTACTATCTCTCGGTTACTGCAATGTTTCCTCTTGCCTTTCCAACCCTCCATTGCCTGTTTAACCAATTCCTTAAAGTTTTTCTGTAAAAATAGCTGCTGAGATTTCTGTTTTATGAGTAGACCCTGACACCCCTAAGAAACTCAGAAATACCCTTTGAACTCCTTGTATAGATTTATGATAGGTTTGTTATTGTGGTAACTAAATGACATTTATAGGCTACACCCAGTGTCCAACTGACAAAAATCTATATTCTAAAAGTTAATTTATAAATCCATTGTTTGAATCTTGAAATTATTTTTCTAGGTAAAACAATATTACACATTAAAATTTGATGAGCAGATCAATTCACCAATGCTCATAGTATATCTGAAGCACAACATTGCACAAATTGTGTTAGGGAACAGAATTAGCATTGTTTTGGCAATGTTAAAGAACAGAATTCAGTGGAACAAATTTGGCTTTATTAAGTAACTAGAGGCCTGGTGCACAGATTTGTGCACTGGTGGGGTCCCTTGGCCTAGCCTGTGGGGATCAGGCTGAAACCAGCACTTTAATATTCCCTGAGGGGTCCCGGATTGCGAGAGGGTGCAGGCCAGGCCAAGGACCCCACGGGTGCATGATCGGGGCCAGGGAGGGACTGCAGGAGGGCTCCAGGGCGTGTCCAGCCTGTCTTGCCCAGTCCTGATCTGCTGGACCCCAGCAGCAAGCTAACCTACTAGTTGGGGCGTCTGCCCCCTGGTGCTCAGCACACATCACAGCAACTGGTCGAATGGTCAGAGGGATAATTAGCATATTAGGCATATATATATATTAGAGGCCCAGTGCATGAATTTGTGCCCTGGTGGGATTCTTTGGCCTGGCTGGTGATGGGGCCAATTGGGGCCGATTGGTGTCAGCTGGTGGGGGAGGGACTGAGGGAGGTTGGCTGGCTGCAGGAGATTGGCTGTGGGAGTGCACTGACCACCAGGGGGCAACTCCTGCATTGAGTATCTGCCCACTGTCGGTCAGTGTGCATCATAGCAACCAGTCTACCAGTCGTTCAGTTGACCAGTTGTAACGGTTGCTTAGGCTTTTATATATATAGTTTCTTGAATTAGGCAGCAACTAGGAGGAACTCCATGAGTTGTACAAAATGGAAGGTTTTTATAGGCAGAAAAAAGCTAAAAGAGTGGATTATTTTAGGCAAAGCCACCTTCTCTTTGGGAAGGTAGGGGTCTTATCAGGCGGTTTACTTCACTATTTCATCAGAAAATTCCAGAGTGATTGGTTCAAAATTCTACTGAGGCTGAAACTGCAATTAAATTAGTTATTAAGCTTTGGTTTGGTGACATAGCTTAGCAAAGTGACTGCATTTTGGCCTGTATTTCTTTTTTGTTTTTAATCTGTTTTTATTGACTTTTAGAGAGAGAGGAAAGGAGAGGGAGAGAGAGATAGAAACATCGATAAGAAAACCATTAACATTGATTGGCTGCCTCCTGCACCCACTGCACTAGGGATGGAGCCTGCAATCTGGGCATGTGCCCTGACGGAACCGGTGACCTCCGGGTACGTAAGTCGACAATCAATGGCTTAACCACACCAGCCAGGTTTGGGTTTCTTTTTTTAATAGAAATGCATATTCAAAGTTTCAACTATTGTGCTAATAAGTTTTATTCATCTTCTTACTTTTTATTTAAAAATTTTTAATAACTTTATTATATCCAAAAATATTCCTGTTTCCACTATAATCAATATTTAAAAATACATTTAAATTAGGTATTTAAAATTTTTTTATATTAAATCTTCAAAATATGTGTATTTTACACTTCCGACAGATTTCAATGCAGTCCAGACACATTTCATGGGCTCAATAGCCACATGTGGCTAAGTGACTACTGCATTAGCCAATACAATTGTTGAGTATATGCCAAAGAGTAGAATTGTTAGATCATAGGATGTGCACATTTTATTTTCTTTCCGTTTTTCAGATACAAATGTTTAATGATATGAGTAGGTAACTCAAAAGGAAGCAAATCTGATTACCCCTTTAGAAATTAAAGGGTATTCTTGTAGATATTCTAAGTATTGATGATTAGAAACAAACTTAAAATATCCTTGATGTAAGTCTAGTATGAAAAAACTGGTCAGGTGAGAGTCAGGGAGACATGGTTAGTCTAATGGAAAGAAGTGAGGTTTAGTTTCAAACATTGAATTAATAATAGTTATGAATTTAATTCCATAATGCCCTGTGAAGCTTTTTATAATATATTTGCCTTCATAATGTCTTTACATAAAAATATCATTAGGTACCTTAGTAAAAAGAGGTCGCCTGGATTAGCAATAGACAGAGAAAACAAATTGCAATTACTTGTGTGCTTTTGTGTGTGTGTGTGTTTTTTGTTTTGTTTTTTTTTAGTTTTGACCGAAATGCAAATTCTGTGTATATTTGCAGAAAGTATTTAGGATTCACACTTTTGTTCCCATGATAAAAAAATATAAACCACAGTTTAGCCATAGCCAGTTTGGCTCAGTGGATAGAGCATCAATCTATGGACTGAAGGGTCCCCCTGTTGATTCCAGTCAAGGGCACTTGCTTGAGTTTCAAGAGGATCCCCAGTAGGGGGCATGCAGGAAGCAGCCAATCAATGATTCTCTCTCATCATTGATGTTTCTATCTCTCTCTCCCTCTCCCTTCCTCTCTGAAGTCAATAAAAAAAATATATATATAATATATATATGTATATGCCACAGTTTAAAAGGAGCTCATGAGTTCTTAATGTATTATAAAAAGATTACTTTCCTAAATAAAATTAAAGCAAGATGCTCCAAGGTTATCATTGGAGCAGGAATCTCCTTGGGAAGGAGGCAAGATTTACTTTCCCCCAGGAATATTTCATTAGCTCCACTTATTATTAGCTCCACTTAGGGGGCAATGCCAACCTCTGCTCTGTATGGACCTGTGCCAGAATGCCCCACCTCCCATTTAACCTCATTAGGTAGAAAGCCCAAAAGGGTGAGTTCAGCGGTGCCCTCTAGGCCAGCCCAGCCCTGCCTTCTGCATTTCCTGTGTCTCCCTAGACTAGCAATGACCTTCTTTTGTTAGAATGACGGTCAGCAAGCAAGCTTCCAGTTACAGGGAAACCCACCTACTCACAGGGTCTCAGCTTTACCATAGAGATCCAGCAGAACACGGTGGGCGGGACTGCGTATGCTCCTTCATTTACTTCAATGCATGTCGTTGAATTAATAAATGACACCAATATTAAGAACAACGGAAGAAGACAAATGCACAACGTTCCTCTTGCGACAAAGGAGACTGTGTCAACTTTTATAAATGACTACCAGGCCACGTGCTGTCAGGGCAGGAGAGAGGTGTTTACTATTTTCTCGGCACTGTGGTTTATTCCACACTTAATCTTAGTTTTTATGTGAAAATACACCTGGACATAAGGAGTTTTTAAATGCTAAATTTAGTAAGCAAGGCTCATTGGGAAAAAAAATACATGATTATCTCTAAACTTTGTATGAGATCAAGAACCTTGGCATTACTTTTTTTCCTTTTTGGTACAAAACATTTTCATTTTTTTAAAAATCAGAAAAGGCAGTGCTTCCTCCGGTTTTCCGCCTCTGAGGAAGGGGACATAAAATTCTGAAAAAGACCCCACTCAGGCGCCCAGCCCTTGTCCCCTTCGGAGAACTAAAAACCAAGGCGAACCTGAGGAAGCAGAGGGAGGAACTACGTGGATGCCTGCTCTCCTCCGGGAGCGCGCAAATGCCCAGAGGGCGCACGGACCCGGCCAGGAGCAGGGAGCCCCAAGCCCCGCACGCGGGGAGGCGGGCGAGGCGGCGAGAGGATGGGCGGGGCCTAGGGGGGCGGTCCCAGGGGCGTGGCGCGGGCGGGGGCCCGGAGGCTTAGAGGTGCGGTTCGGTTCCAGACCGCCGCTAGCTCAGCGCAGACCCCGGCCAGTGCGCGGCGGGTGAGGAACGGCTCCGCGTGGCTTCTCTGGGGCGCCACGCGGTACCGCACCCTCTTGCGCCTCCGGGCCAGACGCTCACTGCAGGTAACCAACTCCCCACCGACTTCCCCGTTCCGCCGCCCGGTGGCGGGGGAGAGATGGGATGGATGGGAGGAGGGAGCGGGCTCTTAGTCGGGGCCCCGCTGCTCCGAGTGGAATGGGCTCCATCCGGGCGGAGGAAGCTGATCCGGGGCTGGAAGTGAGGGCGCGCGGTGGGAACCCGCGGCGAGCGAGTGCGCCTTGGGCCAGGGATGGCGCAGGGCGCTCTCCCTTGACCCTACCCTTCTGCCTGATCAGTGGTGCCCGGGTCCAGAACTCTGGTACCCAGTGTCACCTGGAAGCCACATTTTCTGGCCTTGCAAAGGGAGTCTAAGCTTAGAAATCGGGAGAGTTGGCTGCAGGCATGGACAGGCTAGAAGCAAACAGTTACTCACTGCCATCCTCTGGGTGCCAGGGACTTTAACACTAACCATAGCCCTGCAAAGAGACATTACCTCTAGTTTACTGATAAAGAAGCCGACGCCAGATAACAAATAACTCAACCTGGGCGACTGGAACCACTGGAAAAGAGGCGCTAGTCTTGGGGCTTCCCCAGTCTTCCTGCTCCCTCGCTGTCCTTCATGTGCAGGGCTGGGAAACTCGTGCTGCCGGGTCTATTATGAAAACAGGCGATTCTTCTTAAACACAGTTTAATCCCTACCTAGGATTCTTTTTAAAATTTTTGTTAGCATCCAATTTCTGATTCCAATTCTTCCAGGTTTTGGTCATTAGCTTCCGACGTGTTAGCTCTTGCTCACAGCCCTTTCCCCCCTTGCAGCGCTTTCTCTCAGATACAGAGCAAAACAGTGGCACCCTTGCCTGCCACACACCATCTTTCACGGTGGACGCCTGCAGATCCAGGCTGGACCTATGGGCTGCCCAGTGGAGGTAAGTTTTGTAGTTACCTGACATCCTGCGTATTCTTTGCTTTGCTATTTCTTTGTTAGAGGGAAGAGAGTCTTCGTTTTACAAGTAGAACAAGAGGCGAATCGGGAGGGTATAGGGTGCTCGGAGAAAGCCATAGTGTCTGGAGATGAGAACCTGGCCACAGCTTTTTGTGGCCTGAATTCGGTGAGTGGTAGGTGAGGGACTCTCTCAGGGACCTGTCCCCTCCTCTGGGCATCCTGCCCCCCTTTCAGAGCTGTTCTGAAAGGCAGGCTTGTTTTATAGAGGGGAGGTGGAGGGGAGAATGGTTTTCAAAGATCAGTGTAAATTACCTGCTAGGAGCCCAGACAGTTCCAGACAAGCCAGAGGATTTGGTAACAGATTTCAGTTCTGGCAAGAAGGAAAAGCTCTGGATATCTGCTATTGCTTAATGAATTTTGTGCAGGCCTTAAGGATGGTAGCTTTGGGAAACTTTGAGGTCTTAGAAATGGTAACGCCTCTACTTTTATTTATTTATTTATTTAGGCTTTAACCATTTATTTAATTTGTTGCCCTTTTTACTATATCTATTGAGGTGAACTGGTTAACAATATTATACAGGTTTCAGGTGCGCAGTTCTACAACACATTGTCTGTGCACTGTATTGTGTGTTCACCACCCCAAGCCAAGTCTCCATCCATCAACATTTATCACCCCTTTACCCTCCTCTATTCCTACCTTCCCCCAATCATCACATAAATCCTCTACTTTAAAAAACAATATCATGACTTTTCTTTTATAAAGTTTAACTGGCACATCAGGTAAGATTTTTTTTTTTTTTCCTGTTTCATGGTGAGGGTTTGAAGGTTTACCTGTCAGCTCCTTCCCTTCAGGCTGGCCCTGGCAAGGACCTCCTTAGTCTTGGCCCGGAATATGTACTGGATTCATCTTTCACTAATTACAGCTCATTATTGACTAGTTTTAGGACTATTTCTAGTCACAAGTTGCTTCTTTCCCATTTGTAATTTAGTTGCTACACACTAAGAAAAATGTTTTCCCTGAGAACTATTAACTATCTACAAAATCAACTCTCTGCAGGGCCTGAGAGCCAAGTGGGACTTGGCTGGTCCCTGGTGACCTCCAGAGGACTTGCTAAAATCAGGTTGGCTATCAGCCATTTCCTCCACGAAACAATGCAGGAATTCTGGCCCAGTTTGGCCAGAGCTTTTTTCTCCCCATCCCCTTGCCCCCAAAATAGCGGAATTTTTTTATTTAAAAAAATGTGAAATCAGATTTAATATAAGTATTGGCTAATTTTTCTTTTTTAAAAACACAAATCAAATTTGGTTCATGCATCTGTCTTAGAAACTGCTATACCTGCTAATTACATTTTCAGGTGAATGAAAAATTCTATGATGTAGGTAATGTACATTTTTCATGAAATGAGGTGGTAGGAAAGAAATTAATACTATTAAAAATGATCTCTTTTGATTTATGACATGCACATTATTTCCGCTGCATTGAGTCCTTTACGGGGCATCCAAGGAATTGTGTCACTGTTTTTAATATTAAGTCTAGTGAAAAATGTACTCATGGTTCTGGCTCAGGATGTCAAATGCCTAACTCCCTGCCTCAAAAAGGAAGTTCCCAAATGACTGTTCATATAAATATATAAATCAGTTCCCACATGGCTGTTCGTATAAATCAGGTGTGTTTCCTCCTGGGGACTGAATTCTTAACCACACTGCCTTATGACAGAGGAGGGATGGCTTACGGTTGTCAAATTGTGGCGAATGCCATGTATGGAGGACCAGGGTTTCTCAACTTTGGCACTTTTGACCCTTTGGCCAGATAACTTCTTGTTGTGGGGATTGTCCTGTGCATTGTAAGATGTGCAGCAGCTTCCTCGGCCTCTACCCACTAGATGCCAATAGTCCCCTCCCTCCAGTTATAACAACCAGAAATGCTTCCAGACATGGCCATACATCCCTTGGGAGACAAAGTCACCCACTTGAGAAAAAAAACAAAAAAACAAACAAGAAAAAACAGCCCATATTTAAAATGCTCTAGAGTCTAGAGACATGTATGAACTAAACATTAAGTAAAAACAATTAACTTTAAACTTCTAATGACTTGAGAAGCTATTTGTAAAGTTTAACCAAATATCTGACTTTTAAAATATTTTTACAATAAAGATGACTAAACCAGTGTTCTTCCTCATGAATGGCTACATGTGTCTGGCCAGGTTGTATCCAAAGAAATTCTGATATAGTTATTAAATTTTTAAAATTTAAAATGTTAGAAACTAAAAACAAATTCTGTGGTAGTTTTCAATTTTCTCCTTTTAGTAGACTCTCCTTTTGAAGGTGATAGAGTATCAGTGGCCCATGCTTGTTAATTTGGGAAAATTGACACAATCTCTGATATTAGAACCCCAAACAAAAAATTCTAAGCAAAAATTTGAATAATGAGATTCAGTGTAGATCATGTGCAGACTAGAATTTAGTTCTAGGAAAAATTACAAAGCTTTTTACCTAATAACAAGAACTAAGAAAACCATGTATTTTTTTTAAAAAAAAATAAGCTTTTTTTATTTTAAAAAAGTTCTAGACTTTCAAAAAATTGTGAATACAGAGTTCCCATATACTGTTTCCCTGTTATTAATGTAATCATGTATTTCTGTGGTCTGAAAAATCCTAACTTTATGAAAAAGACCCCATCCCCTACATAATACATGATAACATATCGATGAAAAAAAATGTCCTTAAACTATAACCTTCTTCTTTTTTTTTTTTTTTTTTACCATAAGCTTGGGGAGGCTGAAAACATAGCTCTGGTTATAAAAAATGCATCCTTAGCTAGAGATGGGCTATCCATTGGGTCCCTTCCAGAAATCAAACTAATTTGTAAGACTCAGGACAGGTTACATAATTTGTGGGGCCCCTTGTTTTCTAAGACCTCAAAGTTTCTCACTGAGAATTTCAAGATGGCGACAGTCAGATGGGCATTAAGCAAAGTGCAGGGTCCTGTGTGACTGCACCGGTTGCACACCCATGAAGCTGGCCTTGGTAAAACTGCCCGCAGCTCAAGTGAAGATAGCGATCACAGACGCAAATCCAAAGAAGGAAATGTTACTGCTGCCACAGAACACTCAGAGTTTCTGATTCATTGATTCATTCCCCATCAGGAGTCCTACATGTATTTGGTAATCAGTGCATTAAATATACTAAGAAATTTCCCCAATTACTAACTTTTCTTCTTTTATTAAAGAGATAGCCAAAATGCGGCTGAGTGACCTATTTATTCATTCATTGAACAGCTATTTACCGTGCACCTGTTAGACTCCACACATTGTCAGCTCTGGGGCTACAGCTGGGAACAGGATGGAAGGTCCCTGCCTTTATGAGCCAACTAATCCAGTAGCTGGGAGGAGGCATGTGTGTGTGTGTGTGTGTGTGTGTGTGTGTGTGTGTGTCCGCACGCACAGATCAGTGCACAGTCACACAGGCCATCACATTATAAGTGGTAATTCAGGAAAGCACAAGATATCCAGAGAACATTTAACCTGGGGTCCTAACCTGGTTTAGAGGAAAGGGTTACTCAGGGTAGGTCTCCCTAAAAATAGATATTTAAAATGAGTAGAAAATAGGTGAATTAGGGGTTGAAGTTCCAGAAAGAAAGGGCTGAGACCTAGGCAGGAATGTGGCTTGGGGTGAGGCCTCTTGGGTCATTTTCAGCATTTTGGACTTTAACAAAAAGGTAGTGGGAACCCAGTTGAAGGATTTTACATGGGAGATGAGACGCTTAGGTTTGGGTTTTGTAAATGATCATCGTTGCTGGGTGGAGAAGGGTTTGGTCGGGGAGGTCCTGTTGGCACACACAGTGCCTTTGTGCAAACTACGAAAAGGCTTCCCTTCCTGGTGGACCAGTTAGAAAAGATGTCCTGCTTGGTCCTGGCTAGGCCAGGCCAAAGGCTCTAGCCCCCTGAGCCAGTCACCTGCACAGGCAGAGCCTATGAAATCACACAGGACCATAGCGGGGATGGGGTGGGGGCAAATAGTGCAAGGTTTTGCTGTCACCCAGGGATGATGCAGTGATGCTGAACCTGTCAAGGACAGAGAGAGACTGAGCTTGTAGTTAAACTCAGTGAGAAGGTAGTGGTTATTTGGCTATAGTTGATGGAAGAAGGAACAAGAATAATTCAAAAGTTTCTGGCATAAAGAACTGAGTGGGACAGAATGGTGAAACCATTTATAGTGCTAGAGAACACTGGAGGAGGAGCAGGCTGGCAAGAAGTGGGGGAGGGAGATAATTCCCTTTGGACATGTTTGCTTCTGAGGCACCCAAGTGGAATCAAGGAGAAGGCAACTGGGGGAAATCCATGTTGGAGAGCTGTTGCATAACAATAATCATGCCTATACAAAGAGATTATCCAAATTGGGGTGTCAGAGGAGCAGAGAAAGAGGCTGGCCCCAGAAAGTGAGAGTGTTGTGTTTGGAGGAGGAGAAGCTGGTTGAGGCAACTTGGAAGGCAAATATGCAGGCAGGATAGGGAGGACATTTTTTACCTGACTTGAGATTGGAGAGAGCTGAACATATCCTAATGCTGCTGGGAAGTTTCTGGTAGAGAGTGAGACATAAACAACAGGTCCAGGTTTCAGAGAAGGTGAAAGCGGATGGATTCCAGAATTCAGGTGGGGCCATGGGTCTTTGGTGGACAGAGGGAGAGAAAGGATGAGTAAAGAGGTCTTAGATTTGGGGACCAGAATTTCAAGGACTTCTCTTTTCTCTGAAGGAGCAGACGAAAAGCATCTGGTGAGTTTGGCGTGTTTGTGTGCCAAGGCAAATGTTTCGTCAGCCAGTATTTATGAAACATTTTCTAGTGCCAAACATTGTGGTAGGCACCTTGGAAAGTATTAGCAATGATGTAGATTGCTACTAGGCTTGGCCCTTGTGAAATATTTGGTCTTTGTCCTGGTTCCTGACACAGAACTGCTAAGCCTTGGAATTTCCTGAGTGATTGAT